TATATTACATAACTAATTAAAGTTAAAAAAAAATATATATTCTAATGATATTTTGTTCCACCTGATTCATGGTTTGGTGAGTGTATGTTGGAGGCTGGAGCTTTAATGTAACGACCGAAATTTCAAGTCCAAAAATTTCATTATTAGTTAATTGATTTATAAAAACGTTTATAAGAAAACACCAGCTAATAGTAACTTTTCATAAATCCACAACTCATGTCTGAAAACCACTCGCAAAATAAAACAATGTTAGAGTACAATCCCAAGAAACTCTAATGCGGAAAACCAACATGTGTGTGTATGATGTGCCGCTACCGTGTCAGCTCCTTCCCCTTCGCTGAAGAGGTACCTGAAACCAAAACTATAAACTGTAAGCACGAAGCTTAGTGAGTTCCCCCATCGTACCACATACCATACAATGACGTAACATACATACTGTCGGGCAATTTGGGGTGCCCGACCTACCCGGTACGACCCTTATGGGGTGCCGACCGGTACGACCCTTATGGGGTGCCGACCTACCTATGTCAAGCCATTATGGGGTGCTGACCTACCCATGTCAAGCCATTCTGGGGTGCTGACCTACCCGTCGGTCCTAACAACCGACCCTTGGGGACTATTCCACCCCCTACTGCTACTATCACATATATCATAACATAAACATACTATCAGACATATTTAGGGTGTCCGAACTACCCTTCGGTCCTAATAACCGAACTTGGGGACTATTCCCTCATACTATCGCTATCACATATAACATATCATGCCAACATATAAACATATAATCACATACTGTCTGCGAGTCTATTGCCCGACTCGTCGAGTAAAGACGGGATCTTGTGCAACGTTTAGATCGGCGACTCGGTGAGTCCATATTCGGAACTCGGCGAGTCTGCCTGCCAGGTAGAAACCCTAAATCCCCGGGTTTGCACCCTATTTAAACCATCATATGAGCCCCCAAACTCGTCTCCTTCACCCTCAAAGCATCATTTAGCAAACCCTAACCATCCCATTGAGTATTTGAGCATTTCTTGTGTGAATCTTGAAGTTTTGAAGAGAAGAAGGAGGCTAGATCCAAAGGAGAAGAAGAAGATCCAAGGTCTTGCACCTATTTCAGAGTTTATTGAGGTAATAATCGGATTCCTTCTGTTTCTATGATTGATTCTCCTTTATAAGCATATTTAGCCCATTTTATCCATTCCTTAGCTTGTTCATAGTAGAGAAATCATATTAGATTGATTACCCTTCGGATCTAGCCATGTTTCAGTTCCAAAAATGTAGATCTATCACCTTTATGGAGCCATTTTGCATGATAGCCCTAGATCTACTCTTTCAAGTGCCTTTTAGCCTTTATATCCTTTTTCATGCATATGTACACGTAAAGTTGGAAACTTTACGTGGTAAAACAGCCTTAGTAACTCAGATCTATAAATTGTATGTAGTGGTTTTGAGCAGAATCGAGTTTTTAAGTAACTGCATGCATGTGACTCGGTGAGTCGTTCTTTGGACTCGGCGAGTCGAGTCGCGAGTCCCTGATCCTTCCCCTTTGAGTGATTCTGAGTGGGGACCAGTGAGTAGTAGAATGGAATCAGTGAGTCGGAGGTTAGACTCAGTAATGGAGGGACTCGACGAGTTGTTCATACAACTCGGTGAGTCTAAGACAATCTTCTTAGATTCAAGAACAACTCGTCAAGTTGTTCATACAACTCGGCAAGTCGGATGCAGATGGCCTGAGTGTTAGAATCGAATGGGAACTCGTCGAGTTTATGCCATACTCGACGAGTAGCAGCGAGCAGGGTTGAGAAATGAGAGTAAGGACTCGGTGAGTTGGCGGCCCAACTCGGCGAGTCAGGTCAACTGTAAGTTGACTTTGACCAAGAGAGTTGACTTTAGCCAAGGGTAGTAGTTATTAGTATTTGATTGAGTGTATTTGTGGAATTGTAGCCGGGGAGATACCGGAGCAGCAACAGATAGCTTCCAGAGCCACACACTCAGCAGCGAGATCACGAGGTGAGTTTCCTTCCAGTAGGAACGAGTCTAAGGCCACAATGCCGGCCTGTTTAGCTAGTAGTAGTTTCCGGACTTCGGTCCGATGCAGATTTTAGTATGTTTGATGCCTTCGTGGCTCAAACAGGATTTATGTGTTATGTGTTCCGGGTTACAGCCCGATGCAGTCTGCAGTTTATGTGTTCATGCTTGTTGATATGTTTATGCTATGCTATGTTCAGTAGTTTCGGACTTCGATCCGATGCAGTTAGTTCCGGATTTCGGTCCGATGCAGGAGGCAAGGCCTCAGTAGTTCCGGACTTCGGTCCGATGTAGAGGGCAAGACCCTGGTTAGTTTCGGACTTCGATCAGATGTAGTTTTCGGACTTCGGTCCGATGCAGTGGGCAAGGCCCAGTATGTGTTTATATGTATTGTATGATATGTGGTATTTTGGGGGAGCTCACTAAGCTTCGTGCTTACAGTTTCAGTTTGGTTTTGAGGTACTTCCGCAAGCAAAGGGAAGAGCTCGGGTTGATGACATCGTATACACCACAGTTTCAGTTATCCTGGGAGATGTTTTTAGTTTTTCATAAATGTGATTTGATACAGTTTTGATACAGTTCTACATAACACTTTGCTACTGTTTTGAGATATTGACATATGAGTTTTATATTATGATATTATCTTAGTATTTTTAGTAATTGTTAAACAAAAATTTTTGGGTCGTATTTTGGGATGTTTCAATATGAATCACATGTAAATCATATGTGAATCACCTATGAATTACATGTGATTTGCATGTAAATCACAAGTGAATCACATATGAATTACATGTGATTCACATGTAAATCACAATGAATCACATATGGATCATATGAATTACATGTGAGTCGCATGTAATTCACATGAAAATCACAAGTGAATCACATATGAATTATATGTGATTCACATATGAATTACATATGATTTACATGTAATTTACATATGATTAATTTGTGATTCACATGTAAATAACAAGTGAATTACCTATGAATTACATGTGATTCACAAGTTAATCACATATGTATTATATGTGATTCACATATAAATCACATGCAATTCACATGTAAATCACAAGTGAATTACATGTGATTCACATGTAAATCCCAAGTGAATCACATATGAATTACATCTATATGCACACATGCATTTTATGTAAGTGTTCTTCGTTAATTATTTTTTTAAATTTTCTTGTGAATTTCACATTTAAATCTTAAAAGAGACAATCACATGTGAATATTACATTATATAATCACATGTGAATCTTACATGATATATACATGTGCGGGTTCTTGCATTAATCAATTTTTTTTCTTGTAGATTTTGAAGAATTTTTGGAAATACTGAAGAGGTGAAAATGATAAATTGAAGAAATATGGAAATCTTGATATGAAGAAATGATAACACTACGAATCTTCGTAATTTTTTTATATTTTATTTTGTTTCGAATAAAATACTTGTATTATGTTTATAGAATGATTAATAAAAATGAGATTTTTTATAATTTACTTACGAATATTATAATATAAGAAATATGCATATATGCATTTGAAAAAAATATACATATATGTACCTAAAATGTTGATTTTTTGTTAAAAAATGCAGTTTTGAAAAAAATTACACCTTTTTTTTTATAAAAATCGCATTTTTTTTTTGAAAAAAGTTTAGTTTTTCTGAAAAACAAATACAATTTTTTTTTCTAGAAAAAATGTAGTTTTTTTTTGAAAAAAGATGAGTTAAAAAAATTTCATGTTTTATTTGAAAAATTCATGTTTTTTGAAAAAAATTAAAAAAATTCCATTTTTTAAAAAAACAAAAAATATTAAAAAAAACGAAAATTTGAGTTATTTTGTTAATTTTTAGACATTTATATTAATATATTAAATAACACAAAAAGAAAATTAAACATTAAATGAAATTGGTAAGATGACAATCATGTCCTTAACGAAATACTTTTGATCCAACGCTCAACTTTTAGTTATCGGGTTATCGGGAAACTTTGAGTTCTCAACCGATCTCAATCCTATATATATATATATATATATATATATATATATATATATATATATATATATATTGTTAATAATAATAATAATAATAATAATAATATGTATTAGTTAAAAATAATAAAAACAAAAAAATAAAAATAAATAAATAAAACACAAGAACAGTGAAAAAATAATATTATTTATTTATTAAAAATAAAGAAAAAACGACGAAAAAAAACAAAAAAACAAAAAACAAAAAAATAAATAATTAATGAGGGTAAACGTTGAGTTTTTAAAAAATAACCGTGGGAAGTCAAAAGGATTGGTCGGTGTACCTGTGGGAAGTCAAAAGGGTTGGGTCGGTGTATTGACGCGTTTAATATTACAACGTTTTTCACTCTTCCTCTTCCACTCTACATTCGTCCACCGGAGAGACTAGTCTCTATAACTCCGCTCCTCGGAGACGGGAAACCCAAGCACCCCCTATACACTCGCAATCATCTCTATAATCCAAAAGAAATTAACAAGATTGCCGTACGTTTTCATTCTTCTCCCTTTCATTCGTTCTTCAATCAGCCCGCGGCTCTCCAAACACCGCCAGAGACATGTTAGAGGGTTTTACTTGCAGGGGACTCTTTCACACCGCCGTATCTCCTTTCTTCTAGTGACGCCAGTGTTTCCTCTTTCTCTCATTCTCGGGCGTTCAAGAATCCTCTGCCTTTCCCTCTTCGTCTCTTAGGTAACGTTCTTGATTCTTTTATGTGTATTACTGATTTTATTAGGTATTTTCGATTAGGCAAGGATTCTTCGGGTCTCTCGTCATTACTGGATTCATCATGCTGTTGGGTTGTGCCATTATGCAGTGTATTTCTATGACGTCTGGTTGCGATCAACAAAAAAGAGTACATATCTTTCTCATCTGATCTCCAGGTAGCGTGTTTAAGTTTATGGTAACTTTTTATGTCATGAAACTGTTTTTTTCTAAGCATGCATCATCATCGCTTGAAGGATCAAACACTATGCCCATGGATCTTCTTGAACTATATTAGAGGTAAATTAATGATATAAGTATACCTGATTGCTGTCTTAAATATTAACTAACACATACGACCTCTCTAGGTATCTTTGTCTTTCTCCTCCATCAGACGGAGATGATTGGTCAAGAAAGTCGTGATGTGCTGTCTGTAAAACTTAAATAGTTTTGAAAGCCAGAAAAGTATTTTTTAGTTGTCGATTGTTCTTCTGTGCACTTTAGGTGTTTGATGAAATGTCAACTAAGTTAAAGAGTTGTTTTGCTTTGTTTTTAGGGTGAAGTTATGTAGAGAGAAGTAAATACTAAATAATCACAAGCCAAATTAAAACGTTAAACAAGTTATTGAGCTATTAGAAATTCAATTAGGGGAAGATAATTTATTGTTTGTATTTTCAATTCAGTTAGAAATAGAAGTGTAATTTGCATAATTGAAACAATTTTTGATTTTCATTGCTACAGAAATGTATTAGGACTTATGTTTGTAATTTTCTTACTGCAGGATTCCAGAAATTGAAATTAGATTTTTGGGGTCAAATGCTTGAATTTTAATCAAATGAGGATACTTCCAAGAGGCACTGTGCTTTTTCTTTGGGCCTGTTTATATTATCTCCTCTTATCCTATTTCTGAGTTAGGTCAAAACAATGTCTTCTTTATTATTTTTGTTCATTGAAAAAACTGTCTTTATTGTTTTAACTTTTGAATTGAAATTGGTATTTTTAATATAAGGTTACAAATAAGAGGCCCATTTAAGAGATACAGATGCATAGGTTGTATAATTTTTTCTATTTAGAGGTTCAAAACATTGATTACATGTTATAATGTTTTCCTATTAATTAAGTAACAGATGTTCCCTTTTGGTGACAGATCTTCTGCTGCATCTCCATTGAAGTTAGTTCCTGACATTGGTACCTCACAGTTACAAGATAATTTTGTGTGTGTATTATACTTTCTTCACTGAAATTGTATAACATTGCAACAGGGATCCTCTATTGGACTATATATACATACATACATCTATGTTCTTTTATATGATGTTACCCTTACCCCGGTTTGTCCTCCATTAATTATACTGGTAATACCATCTTTTCCATCAGCAACTAGGGTTAATAAGGTTGTATCATTTTCAAAACTTTAATACAATTTAGTGCAACTTCAAACCCTGTGTTTATTTACAAGTTTGTGTTTGATTTTAACATCTCCAATAACATGAGCTTCTTTGATTTGAGTTCATACTTTATGATTTCTGCCTTTTTGATTACTAATTTATTTGCCATATGATTTTGCCATATGAATTGCCCTTTATGTTCACCAAAACTAGATAATATGTTATACAAGTAAACACCAAAAGTGCTTTTCCATGGAAACCTGAGTGGCAAACATCACATATAATGCATTCTTTATTGTACTTGATTACTTCATGACAAAACTCTTCTTCACTGTATTTTCATTCATGTAGGACAACATGGCAGAATTAAGACCTATTGTTTGATTATATAACAAAGTATATTACGGGTATGATAAATTTATGTATTTTAGTAAAATTAGTAAGGCTTATTGATTCTTAATTAGGTGTGTGATTATTGCACTGAAGTCATCTCAACTGATGGTCTGAGAGAAACTAGAGCAATATTGGATCACTCAAGAGCAACCAGAAATCTGAAAGAAAAAAAGAAGCTAAATTAACATTCACAATAATGCCATGGTAAGAAACCATATTGTACTTTTCCTATTACTTAATATTATATTAATATGCAAAATGTCTAATAGGGAATAAGTCTTTCCATATTGCCTCATAAATTTGAATGCTATTTAGATGCTAAGGTATAAATACTTCCATTAAAAGTTTATATTGTCATAATCAAACCTATTAACACATTGTAATTTTATTATTTTTCTTTATTAGGTCACTGTACTTTGAAAAACTGAACATGTTTGGTTTTAGTTACCAATTATAGCATTATATACAACTTCTAAGTTTTTATTATTAAAACACTGTACTTTCAAAACTTATTCCAATTCTTTTGACAAATTCCATTCATTTCAAAAATATATTGTGAACCACAAGTTCCCTTACTATACTCTGAGATGTATTGCTATTCTCATTTCCAATTCTTTTAACAAGTTCCATTTATTACTCTGCAACAAGAAAAGGTTTTAGAAAACAGATAAAAGAAGATCCCCCCCCCCCCCCCCCCCCCCCCCCCCCCAAGAATCAAAGTGTTAACATGTAACTTTTATTTTTTACCCTTAACACTGTCAAATACTTCATGCTTTTTATGTTCTTATTTAGTTACTCTGTCAATGTTTAAAGGATGTTGTGTTGGGTGATTATGCCTTGATGGAAATGATATGCCGGTGTACAGGTAGCTACAGCTATGAGTCTATGACCCTCTTTTTGTATTTCCAGAAATGCCCCTCTGTTCCTGAAACTTGTGGTCATTTATTGTCTTCAGGAAATGATGGGATTAACATACTTCATGTTAAATCAATCAACAAAGATTCTGAATATTGTATTTAGTTCGCTTGGTAATTCTTTACAAAAGATATTTTGTTATTTAGTCCATTCTTTAATTGTTTAAAAATGTACTTTTATTTAGTTAATTGGGACATCACTCATCAGGGAAGGAAATGCCATATGGTGTGGTCTTTGTTGGGTTGAAATGTTAACAACAAGTGGTCAATAGAAAGAGGTAATAATCAGTTCTTTTTTTGTGAATGAAAATATTATATATGAGAATTTTGTTAAAAAACATCAGTTTATCTCTTCATCCAGCTGTGATGCTTCAACAAGCACCTTATTGTTAAGTTTTAGCCAAACCAATTATGTTAAGAAAGTATGAATTTCATCTCATTCTTTCATTATAGAGTATCAATACTTAAGTAACAATATATGAATGATTTGTTCATCTGTTTAGAGTAATATTACATTTTTGGTCCCCGAGTGTAGCTGATTTTTTCTAATTTGGTTCTTGTATGAGGTTTGTAATGTTTTTTTTACTTGTTCCACGTAAGATGACAAAAAATTTGGGACCAAAGTTGCAAAAATCTTCTATATTTGGTGACCAAAAATTGCCACTTTACTTGGAACATGGACCGAAAATGGTACAAAAACCTTAGATAAGGAGCCAGATATTGTAAATTTGCTTTATTCAGGGATCAAAAGTGTATTTTACTCTTGTTTCTAAGTTTGTGTGCTTTATAAATAATGCAGATAGATGCTCTTTGTCTGCACACATAGTAGCAACAACATCCGAACAGGGGACATATATTTCTATTTCAGAAGCAATCAAGGTGAAAAGCAAAATACATACAATTTTTATCTGTTTTTCCAAGTTGCCCTTTTTAAGGTAAAAAAACTGTCTTTATTCTCTTCTGCTTCCCAAAAACGCCACAATATCAACAACTTCAACATTTAGTTCAAAAATGAGAATTGTAGCAACGAAATTTTGTTTGATAAGTATGAAGATGATGACAAATTTCAAAGGGTTACTTCTGCAATGATAAAAATTGAAAACATTGTCAAAAGTCATAATTTTCAAAATTTATCATTTTCTCTTTGAATTCAAATTTCATATAAGATTTACTAATTGTTTTCTTCTGTCTTCCTTTAAATCCAAGCGTAGTGCCAATGTATTTTTTTCGTTGGTTTTAACTGTAGCTCACCTTGGCCATCCAGAAGCTGTTGAGAATTGGTGGAGTCTTGTACTATAAACATGATGATGTGCTCTCCTTTTTTTTTCCTGCAAAATGTGTTCTTTTTTATTACAAATTTTTAATTATTATTCATTCAATCCTACTAATCGAAGAATGATGCTTCTTAAGATAACAAATAAACAGCCAAAGAGAGCAACTAAAACTCTTAAGAAAGTCACTTTGGTGTATGAGTTTACAGTTACTCGATTCTTAAATATTTTTTGGTAATGGAAACTTTAATTGAGAATTAAGATATATTGATGGTTGCAATCTTCACTATTTTCTAATGAACAGTTAATCTTCTGCAGGTAAATAGAAAATTATGGCTTCAAGCTTTGAATGAATTAGGGCATAAACATCTTCACTTAACCTTGCAAAAAGTAAAGTTGACATTTGAAGTGAGTGGTAAGTATGTTTCTGTTTTTCCAAATTGCCCTTTTATGATTAAAAAAAAAAACTATATTCATTCTCTTTTGCTACCCAAAAACACCACAATATCAACATCTTAAACATTTAGTTCAAAAATGAGAATTGTAGCAACGAAATTTTGTTTGATAAGTATGAAGATGATGACAAATTTCTAAGGGTTTCTTGTGTAATCAGGCATTAAAAAGATTGGTTTTTGTTAAACGTTATAATTTTTAGTCTTATTGAGTGTAGTGCTTTATTTATCTGTCATGTCTGGTGTGTTTAAGATGGTTTTGTTTCATTGAAATCTATTTTTGTGTATATGATCCATTGCTTTCTATAAAGTATAAAGTATGGCCTGATGTTTATTGTGTTTCTAGTTTCTCTTCAATTGCTTTGCATTTACTGGTCAAAATCTTGGATCTAGTCATGGTTTGAATGTGTTATGTTTGTTTACTCCATTTTAATCTTATGTTAATATTAGCTAACAACAACATTGATTTCATGGGTTGTTATTAGGCTCACATAATCTGCCACATTTATGTATTTCAATTATTATCATCTAACAAATCCTCTTTTTGATAGAAGAGTAACTTAACTGGAGCAGTTGAGAGCACCTACAAATCTGGAATAAAGCTAAAAATCACTCACCATTCAATGATGCGGATACCAAGGTAAGAAACCAAACCTTACTTTGTTGATTACTTAATAATATACATACAAAATGTCTGTCTGATAGGCTATGGTTTCTTCACTTTTGTTTTATACTTTCAATAGTTTCTTCCTATTAAGATATTCTACTTGACTTTAAGCATTATACCTTTAGTTATAGCATTACTTTTTCGACAAAGAACCTATTAAGAATATCTACTTTTTATCTTTTTATTCCCTTCTAAAGTGCATATGAAAGTTATTGTACTTTGATGATCTAACCATGTATAACATTGCACTTTATAATATAACATTATAATTTTGAATCCTAACATTTTACTTTCATTTGTTTTTTCTTAGTAAGACTTCTATTTTGTTTTTTTAGTTTTAAGACTCTTACTGTCAAAATTCACCCTTTCTGATTTTTGTTACTATTTATTGCATTATACATTTTTCTTATTAGGACATTAAATTTATTATTATTTTTTTATTAGGACCCATTCCTTATTGGTAGGATTGGCAACAGAAACAGCAGCATAGTTTTGGGTGGTGGCTTGATGGTACCATCACAGAATTCATAGATGGAAATGATATGTTGGTGTACAGGTAGCTACAACTATGAGTCTATGATCCTGTTTGTGTATTTCCAGAAATACCCCTCTGTTCCTAAAACTTTTGGTCATTTATTGTCTTCAGGAAATGATGGGATTAACATAGTTCATGTTGAATCAATCAAAAAAGATTCTGAATATTGCATTTAGTTCTTACAAAAGATATTTTGTTATTTAGTCAATTCTTTTATTTGTTTAAAAATGTACTTTTATTTAGCAAATTGGGACACTAGGGACGGTAAATGCCACATGATGTGGTCTTTAGTGGGTTGAAATATTAAGAACAAATGGTCTATATTATAAAGAGATAATACTTAATTCTCTTGAATGAAAGAGATAATACTTATTTCTCTTGAATGAAAGAGATAATACTTAATTCTATTTTATTAAAAAACTTCATTTTTTTTGCAGGAATCTCTTCATCCAGCTGTACAAGAAATAATTGTCATCAGGTATTGCATTTTTTGTAAATTCTCTAATAGATAATAATGTTTTACTTAATAAATAATTTTCATTATCGAATATCAAAATTTAAGTAACAATATATGAATGATTTGTCTATCTGTATGTTACATTTTTGGTCCCCGAGTGTAGCTGATTTTTTTCAAGTTTGGGACCAAAGTTGCAAAAATCTGCTATATTTGGTGACCAAAGTGGCTATTTTTGGAACAGTGACCAAAAATAGTGACCTAAATTTGCTCTATTCACCAAAAGTATATTTTACTCTTGTTTCTAAGTTTGTGTGCTCTATATTATAATTCTGAGAAACCCATGTTTCAAACCCATAGGCACTAATATTATCTTCCAAGATTTGAAGTGCATTTTATCACCAGATATCTACACTGATGCACTTATTTCCAAAATATTGTGAATTCATGGTTCATTAATAATGCAGATAGATTAGGGTTCATTCCGTTTCAGAAGCAACCAAGGTGAAAAGCAAAACACATACAATTTTTATGTTCTTTGGTTCTTTAAATGCATTTCATTCCATTTGTTCATACTAATTTCCAATTTTTTGATCATATTCAGTCTTATCGTTTCCAAAGGGGCAATGTATGTGGCTTCCTGAAATTCTTGTAGCTACAAGCTGCTCTCTTCATGCTTTCTTTCTTGGATTGGCTATTCATCAAAGGCTTTTGTTACTTACTGTAAATCCATGATTTGCTTTTTTGGAAAAACATGTATTATTATTTATTATTCATTAAATCCTACTAATTGAAGAATGATGCTTCTTATGATAACTATAACTCTGAAGGAAATCACTTTGGTGTATGAGTTTAGAAGTTGTACTATTACTTTTATTCGATTCTTAAATATTTATTGATAATGGAAACTTTAATTGAGAATTGAGATGTATTGGTGTTTGGAATCTTCACTATTATCAAATGAACAATTAATCTTCTACAGGTAAAATGAAAATTATGGCTTCAAGTTTTGAAATAGGGCATAAACATCTTCACTTAACCTTTTAAAGTGGTAAGTACGTTTCAGTTTTTCCAAATTGCCCTTTTTAAGAAAGAAAAACCATACTTATTCTCTTTTGCTACCCTAAAATGCCACAATATCGACATCTTAAACATATAGTTCAAAAATGAGAATTGTAGCAATGAAATTTTGTTTGATAAGTATGAAGATGATGACAAATTGAGTGTAGTGCTTTATTTATCTTTGTCATGTTTGGTGTGCTTAGATGGTTTTGTTTCATTGAAATCTATTTTTGTGTATACAATCCATTGCATTTACTGGGATCTAGTCATGGTTTGAATGTGTTATGTTTGTTTTCTCCATTTTAACCTTATTTTAATTAATATTAGCTAACAACATCATTCCCATCATGGGTTGTTGTTAATAATCTGCAACATTTATGTATTTCAATTATTATCATCTAACAAATCCTCTTTTTGATAGAAGAATAACTTAAATGGAGCAGCTGAGAGCACCTAAAAATCTGGAAAAATGCTAAATGACTGACCATTATATGATGTGGATAGCAAGGTAAGAAACCAAACCCTACTTTGTTGATTACTTAATAATATATACATGCAAAATGTCTGTCTCATAGGCTAAGCTTTATTCACTTTATACTTTCAACAGTTTCTTCCTATTAAGATTTTAGTTATAGCATTATTTTTTCAACAAATAACCTATTAAGAATACTTACTGTTTATCCCTTTTTTTTCTTTTAAAGAGCACATAAAAGTACTTTGAAATCCAATATTTTACTTTCCTTTGAAAACCAGATCTCATTAGTCATTGTATTTTTTTTTACCAATTATTGCATTATACATCCAATTATTTTTCATCGGATATTGGACTTCTATTTTTTTTCTTTTTTTCAGTTGTAAGACTCTTATTCTCAAAATTTTAACCAATTATGGCATGATGGTCTCATGTATATCATTATCAATATACTTTCAAAATCTTTTTTGTTAAGATATTGAATTTTTACCCTTTCTGATTTTTGTTGTTATTTTTCGCATTATACATTTTTCTTATTTTGACATTAAATTTATTATTTTTTTTTCTTTTCTATTAAGACTATAAATATACTACCAAATTATAACATTATACCTTCACTTTGTAGCATTCTTTTTTTAATATATAAACTATATATGCATTGAACTTTGAAAAAATTAACTTCTTTTGTTTGTTTTTAGTTATTATATCATATTTTTAGTTATAGCATTTTACTCTCATTATCTAACCTATTAAGACATTATATTGGAAGTATGAATACAACTGCATAAGAACACGTATCAGGTATTGATACATTGTACAATTTATTTTCAATTATATATTTTTACTTTCAAAATCTTACTAATTAAGATATTGTAATCTAAATTGGTTTTACTTTTCTTTTCTAATTTTGTTATTATGAAAACATTGTCCTTTTTGTACCTATTCTATTTAAAAGTTTATACTTTAAAAACAAATCTAACCATATGCAACATTTTTTTTTCTATTTTAATATTATTCATTCAAAGTCCAACTTCTTAAGACAAGCTTTTTTTTAGTAATTGCAGTATAAAAATGTCAACTTATACTAATTGTGGCATTATACTTTCAAAATCTAACCATGTATGGCATTAAACTCTAGGCAAAACTGCAAAAATGATGAAATTATGCAGAGAAAAGTAAATAATCACAAGCCAAATTAAAACATTAAACAAGTTATTCAGCTATTAGAAATTCAAGTAGGGAAAACTAATTTATTATCTTCCAAATCCATAGTCACTAATATTATCTTCCAAGATTTGAAGTACGTTTTATCACCAGATATCTACACTAATGCACTTATTTCCAAAATACTGTGAATTCATTATGGTTCATTAATAATGCAGATAGATGCTCATTGGCTGCAATGATAGTAGCAACAACATCGGAACAGGAGACATAAATTAGGGTTCGATCTGTTTCAGAAGCAACCAAGGTGAAAAGCAAAATACATACAATTTTTGTCTTCTTTGGTTCTTTAAATGTATTTCATTCCAATTGTTTATACTAATTTCCAACTTTTTTGATCATATTCAGTCTTATAGTTTCCAAAGGGA